GACCAACTATCCTTCCTCTAACAAAATCTGACAATTCGAGAGAACCTTGAGTTCTAGGCATGTTGTAGCATAAGATAATTAGTATGCGGGCCATTTTCATTTATATAGTGTTCTGTGAACACAAATTAGTTAGCATAAATCAGTTAAATGACGAAAAATTAGGTGTCTATTTACTTGTGACTGCTCAGTGTACTTTAAAAGTTGATAGTTTTATTAGTAGTCAATTTAATCTTAGAGTTTTAAAAAAGTAATAAAATACTGTTTTTTATTAATAAAGTTTAAACGTTTTAGGAAATAGTATGCTTAGTCTTGAACAAGCTAATCGCATGGAAAACTGCGACGCTGTAAATGTAACATTTTGTTTAAAATAGTATGTGTTATTATAAACTTTGGAGTGTTACACGATGATTAAATAAACATCTGGTTTTCAAAATATTCGTTTGATTATAGTTAAGCACAAAGCTTCACAACAGACATTCTGTATGTGCCCACCACATGTATCGAAACCCGATCTTTAGCTGACATATTGCTAAGCAACTGGGTGCATATTTTTTTGAAATAATATTAAAATTACACAATAATAATTCTAGGTTAAACATATATACGTTTTAAGATGTAACATTTTTATTGTTAATAATTTAAATTATTCAAGTTAATTATAAAAGCTTACCTTTTTGCCACAAAATTTAAGCATCAGTCTCAACAACAAAGATGCTAAAAATCCACTGAGATTCATCACTAAAGGAATCTTTGCCAAAAAGTCCTTTAAAAATACGAAATTTATATTACATATTTTAAAAAAGCTTTTCTTTCGTTATGTGTAAACTAAGAATATTAGTTGTAAGTTTGGTTCTAAGTAAGTATATGAAAAAACTGTGCAAAATGTTTTGTGAAAAAACCTATTTCGAAAAAAATTAAATTCATTTATTAAACTTACAAAAGCATAGCATTATTATCCTTTTTAAACTATCCAAATTTAATATACAGAAACACGACAGCCAGTTTGTGCCATAATACATTCTAAAACCTATTTTTATATGTCTCTTTATCATTATGTTTAGCAATAATTTCTACAGTTTGGGAACATAGAAAAAGTCTATGTCTTGAACATGTTTATAAGTCAGCTCGAGTGGCTGAATTAACAGTAAAAACTAGCAATACATTCATTAATGTTATCTTAGAAAGACATTAGTGAGACATTTTTTTCCCTTTTTATCAGCTATATTTTTGTGCGCCCGCAATACTAAGCGTGAGGCGCGCGTATACCCGATTCAATTTTATTACTCATCAGAATCTCTAACAGCCTACCCTCAAATTGAAATTATTTTAGGCAGAATTGGATTAAATTAATCTATGAGGCCTTGGGCGTAGTCAAACACATTAATCGAAAGAGTTTGACCCCCTGAGTCCAAAACTGTAATTAGATCTCAAATCGGTCAAGAGATGAAGGAGCTATGAGCTATAAGTTTGTACTTTGAAAAACAAAAACTCAGAGCCCTTCTATGACCCGCTATGCCGCGGCTAAAAAAACAAAAGCTGACCAAATCCCCTTTATTTACCTCAGTTTGTTCTCACCCCTTCTTTTTGTTTTAATATTATAAAACAACAAATATTTCTTTTTTAATTTACTTTAGTTCGTTCATATCACTCCTCTTATCTATACCTCATTTTGTACTCATTCTGCCAACGTTCTTTTTATTTAAATACGTATTTTTAATTTTGTCAAATATTTTCTTAACTATGCCCACCCTCACCCATTCGAACTCTTACTTTAAAATTTTGCGAATAAGTTTTAGAGTTTACAACAACGTCTTTAAGTTAGAATTGTGTTCTTTTTACTATATTTTACTATCATTTTAACGTTATTTCTACCACATGTATCTTACTTTATCTAATATCTTTGTAGGGCTTCAGTTAAATTTATTATGTTCTGTTAAGTCTCCGTTTGTTAATTGATTTCCCGTCAATTCGTTCCGACGAAACTTTAGCGACACAAGTCCTTACTTAATAAAACTGGTTTATTCTTTCCGAATATAACTTTACGATATACTTAATTTCAACAATCGCGCTAAAACAAACGCTATAACAACGAACGTGCTCAACTTCAATAATACTCTCTGACTGCAGATCAATTACTCACTGTCTACACACACATTGTCACGTCACGCCGTGACCATCTTATATATATCAGACCACCCCCCCTATCTAGTAAATGCTAGAGCACTCCCGAAGGAACGGGATAGTTCTAGAAACGTGGCGTGACACTAGTCACGTGACCTCGCTGACGCAACAGTTCTATAACTACTTCACAAACAATAGTACGTACCTAATCTCCCTTCTCCCCTTCATTCTTTGATCGTGGGCGAAAACTTTCAAGTGGTTTGTATTGAAATAATTCTGACCGCTTATTCAAATATTTGTGATATTTAAACTCCCTGATAAAGACATTGGTTAAAAGGTTCTGTTATTGCATTATTAACCTGGTAAATATTAACCACTACTTTCCATGCAGTATTGTGGTGATAATCTCCTACACGTCATTGTAAGATGTAATAACACCGACATAAATAATTGTATTATAAATAATAATGATATACCTAATAGCATTTTGACATGAAATAATGACGATATGAGTGATGGTATCTTAAGGTGAACTAACAGTGACATGATTAACGGTACTTGGGGATGTACTAATAAAGGTATAGCAACAATATTTTAAAGTGTATTAAAGTAGGCGTCGAATGATATTTAGAAATGTACTAATTGCGATACGAGTAATGGTTTTGGGAGGTGTACCAATGATTTTACGAGTAACAGTGTTTCAGGATGTAATACTGGTGATACGAGTAATAGTATTTTAATGTGTACAAATGATTGTAGGAGTAATAGTATTTTGGAATATTAATGGGGCGTATTTATTGTATTTTCAGGCATGCTAATGGTGATACGAGTAATAGTATTTCGGAATATTAATGAGGGCGTAATCATTGTATTTTCAGGCATGCTAATGGTGATACGAGTAATAGTATTTCGGAATATTAATGAGGGCGTAATCATTGTATTTTCAGGCATGCTAATGATGATACGAGTAATCGTATTTCAAAGTGTACTAATGACTCATGAGTAACAGGATTATTAGCGTATGCTTAAAGGGTGCTAATGGTGACACGAGAAATGATATGTCGAGATGTATTAATGGTGACATGAGTAATAATATTTCGAAACGTACTAATGGTGACATGAGTAGTGGTATTTTAAAGTTGACTAATTCCAACGCGTGTAACAGTATTTTCATGTGTAGTAATGTCTGCATGATTTATGGTATTTTAAAGCTGACTAATGTCGATGCGGGTAATAGCATTTTCAGATGTAGTAACGGCTACATGATTAATGGTATTTTAAGGCTGACTAATGCCGTTGCGAGTAACAGTATTAACAGGTGTAGTAACGTCTGAATGATTAATGGTATATTAAAGCTGATTAATGGCGACATGATTTATTTTAAGGTGCATTAACGGTGATATAATTCATGTACATTATGGTGAACATATTGCGATATAGAATCATAATACCTATTTCACAGGCTCTTACAACACTAAGACGAATATATATATATATAAGGCAAAACACTTAAATAATGGGGTTAAAATTGTATTATTACCTGAGTTAAACCAAGAGATTCTTGGAGATACAATGGGATGAATACACCAACGAAGTTCTGGAACATACGAGCTACTGTATAGAGAGTGGCCACCTGAACAAGGATCACAGAAATAATTGTTTCGTGGGATTCAAATAACTTGGTAATCACATATTACAATAAGCTTAACTGTTTTTTTTTCTTTCAATATCGGTAATAATTATTACATTTAGAGAGCCTTTCTACATATTACTTTATCATCTCACAAGTACTAGTATATTTTAGTTTATGTAACCTTGCAGCTATTTTAGTAATGCAATAACTATTATCTCAGCATTTTAAATGAATCAAATTAATGAAAGTGAAACATTTATGTGTATGTGTGTGTGTACATGTATAAAATCTAGAAAACATTAAGCTTCATTATCAGAATATGTGGCAAGTGCATCGTTATTAACACATAATAAACGTAATAAAGTATTTGACAGAAGTAAGGATTTTCCATTAATTGTGGAAAACATATTCAAATATTCAAGCAAGAAACATGTCTTTAGTTACCAACAACTCATTTTGACTAAAGGTACTAACGAAATAAGAGAAAAAAATGCTAAATATGTCTAGAATGTATTTTTTGCATATTATATTAATTCGCTACCTTTCTAACAGACAAAGAGAATTCATACCTAGCAGTAAGTTTTTTGTAATTCAGTAACAGTACTACTGTTCAAAACTTTGTTTTTCTGTTTTGAATTTCGCGCAAAGCTACACGAGGGCTATCTGCTCTAGCCGTCCCTATTTTAGCAGTGTAAGACTAGAGGGAAGGCAGCTAGTCATCACCACCCACAGCCAACTCTTGGGCTACTTTTTTACCAACGAATAGTGGAATTGACCGGCACATTATAACGTCCCACGGCTAAAAGGGCGAGCATGTTTGGTGAGACAGGAATTCGAACTCGCGACCCTCCGATTGCGAGTCGAGGGCCCTAACCACCTGGCCATGCCGGACACAAAACTTTGTTATATAAAATTAACACGTCTTTACTAATGTAATTTATGAAGTTATAATTAAATCAGAGAGTGTTTCTAAAACTTCAGTATACCACACATCAAGGCCGTAACTACCACTGAAGTATTGCCAAGCATAGATCTGGGACTTTTATATTATGTGGTCTTCTCATTAATAAAATAATTTTTTTTTAAAGGTCTTCCAAAACTTCGACATTTAAAACTTTATACTATGAATGATAAATACTTAAATATATATTTCGAAAATAGCTCGAACCATTTATTACATTACTAACATATTATAGTAACCAAGACTTGGGTTGCCGATTATAAACTTACACAAAACAGTCTTCCTGTGGTTTGCGAAAACAATATGATTTCCTATTACGTGATGCTGCAAAATTCATCGGATTAGTTCAAAAATGCAAAAACAAATTACATCTTGTGATGTTCCTTGTTTAAGTTTCCATAACAAATAAATGACGCCAAGAATATTAGTAACTCATTTCATAGTTTAAAACAGTTTATCGGCGTTACCACCCAAAAGAAAAGCGTATCTTATAATGCCACCGCCCGATCCTGAAAAACGAAGACACAAGCTACTGTCAATTTCCGCGCGAGAGATCATCCCCCTACCGTCCTCCATCAGGGCTCTGCCCTTGACTCGCTGGGGACCTAAGGTTACTCCAGACCCCTTACCTTGTCTGAATTTACACTCTAGGTACGGTCTTGCGCATATACCGTATATTAAATTATTTCATTCAAATTCAAAATCTCTGAGCTTTATAGTGCGATATGAACACAGCCTATGTATGAGTGGCCTGAAATGTCATAATGTTGGTTTGAGATATTTATAACATTTATGTTGCCCCCTTACCCACCCCAGTGGCACAGCGGTATCTGCGAACTTATACTCTAGAAACCGGGTTTCGATACCCATGGTGGACAGAGCATAGATAGCCCTTTGTGCTTAATAACAAACAACAACATTGATCTTATATTATAGTTTTATTTTAATCTATTTTTAGATAAGCATCTTAGAATTTTACAATGGTTAAAATGTACCGCTTTAGACAATTTATAATCAAACACGAGTGAAAATTATGTTAACTATGAGATGTAAAAGCATTTTTTTCGTTTTACATTGTATTAAATCAAATTTGTTTTCTTTTATATATTCTTCTTTCAAATAAAAGTTAGCATTGAAGGTTTCAAACCAAACATTTCTTGAACAAAAATGACTAATTATGTTTCGTTGAGAAAATTTCATTCCAATTTCTTTCAGAATGTATCACACTAATTTTATTAATAGTTTGTTTTTCCATTACATATTGTTCTCCAATGGTTCAGCGACGAATCAGGGTTTCTGACTAGTGTAGCAGACTAGAGTAGAATAGTAAGCGAGTATTTCAATTTTTAAATTATTTTAACCAGATAATTTGAAATGTAATCAAATTTATTGACTAGGAAGCTATTCTTAAAATGCTAACAGACAGTCTGACTAAACAGCATTGTCCATATGTCATAACGACCATTAAACATACACTCCAGCTCCGTTTATTCGGTCAGCTGTGGGTCTAAGCAATAAATCGCCACATAGCGGGGTGGCCATATTACCGGGTGTCACTGTATGGGATCAACTCTGGAATCAGACTGAGGCCACAGTACATATCCCAACAACTTGCCCATAATACTCACATTTCTATGTTCTTGTTTGATACAGAATGCTGTAATAACATTTGGCTGAGAAAGCAGAGCTCTTTTTATTGCAAAATGGAGGGAAAGGTGAAAAACTGGAAATGAATGTGTGAATTTTCTTCTTTGAACAAATCTTTTGTTCACAAGAAGACCAAAGAAACACCGAACTAGAAGTGTGATCATCAGTGCAGCATGAGTTGTGAGGCATCAGATAGGATTAGTGTGCCATTAATAGCGAACATCAACGGTCACTTGGTTTGTAATACCTACAAGACGTGGCATGGCCACTATCAGTCGATGTACGGCAGTGGCTTCACTTTGATTGACAGGTCCCTGTTGGGAAGCGCAGGTAAGAGCCGGCCTAGGTGGCCGCAAAACTGACTTCAAAGAGACTGCTTGGGAGTGGGAACCAGGTGACCACAAGGCAAATTGACTGCAATACGAGTGCCCATAATAGCTGATGTTTTACAAATATAAAATAAAAGGGAATATTTGGGTCTAAGCTAAAATGGCTGTAATTAAGGGTTGACCGCTCTATCGCATTGACTGGTATGCGAGTCTGCACTGTAGTTTTCAATTGGCACAGTCTGGAATCTTCCAATTTAGTAAGTCACTGAAACTGACTTTGACACTGCATGCCAAGACCAGAATCGAGCCAATGTTCTACTGCAGGTAAAGCACTGAATTATTTCAAAGGAGTACCATTCACATTAATTTCTATGATGGTATTCAATATGCCCTGTTGTAGTTTCGTACGTTTAGAGTCTTTCTCAATATTCATGGTTGAAAACCCCTCCTAAAACCAGCTGTGCTGATTGAAATGGCCATTATTATGTCAACAACATGCAAAATGTTGGCAAATTTCACAAGCGTTCTTCTCAGTAAGTCATCATACACTTGGAGCTGAGATGAAGTTCTCATTTTTGAGTAATGCAGCTTTAAGGGCAAACATTCCTCAAAGATATCTTCTCTCTGTTCCTGACTGGTGGATTCTGTAATTTTCCAAATCTCACATCAATATAGACTATAGTTCCATCAATCATTTCAGTATATATAGAGGTTCATTCTTTTTTGAGTTTTCAGTCTTTGAACCCTCGATTCTTGTGTTTCTTTAAGAAAATCTTCAGACTTGGACCTGGTGTGAATTTGAGGCTTACTAGCTTAAACAAAGTGGTTGTCAATCTTGGGATAACTTCAGTAACAAACATCTCTTCAGCTTGAAATGCTTGTGACATGGTACTAAAAGCAGCACTATAATCAATCATAAAGTACAAAACTTGTAAAACTTTGTTATTTGAGCATATCCTCAAAATGTTCTTGACTTCAGCACTGTCTTTTCGATTACTAGTACCAGCAATATCCGACAAGTGCACAATAGTTTCTTTGAAACTCTGAGAAAGGGCTCTTACAGCACGTTCCTAACTAGCAAGCTATCGGATTTGTTGTATGCCTTCATTGTGTGCCAATTTATCAAAATTAGCGATATTATACAGTTCTCTTCTACCTTTTGGTGAACAGTAGTAGAGCTTGAATAAAAATTTGAGAATTCATCGAATCTCTCCAGGTGAGGTGTATCTTTTTTTCCACATCTAAAATAGTGAGATCCAGATCGTGATTTATGCAGTGGATGACAAGTGTGTGTGGAACATCAACACGTGTTAAAACCTGCACTCCTAACTCGTGGCTCACGTTAATACTTGCTCCATTAGGGTTCCAGCTAATATATTTTTGAGACATAATTGTTTGTTTGTTTGTTTGTT